TCAGCAGGATAAAGGACCTGAGAGATATCCTATTGAGCATTCACAGTCTTCCCCAAGGCATTTATTAGATGCAGAAGGGATCAAGACTCATGTATTATTTTTGGTATTAAACTACTCAGTATCATTAAATAACTTTTTGCTTTTATAACTTGGCTATTATTCTAGTCATTAGGCAATACTGCAACCTCACAGCCACTGCTTTTTTTTCAGTCTACTATGTAATGCAAGATCTTGTCTAAATTTGTAAAAATTTTTTTTTATATTTTGTACATTGGCTGAGGGAAATTTGCAGTTTGAGATTCTGGCTTCATTGTGGAGAGCAGGACCTCCCTGGGTTTTCCACAGTGTTCAGTGCCTGTTTCCTACAGCCCTTCGTCTCTGCAGGCTGTCGCTGCTCCCAAGTCCTGGCCTGCCTGCAAATGCTGTCTTGACCCAAGGAAATTTTGAACTTGTGTCCCTTTCAGATGGTAGTGCTGTTTCTTCCCTGGGTATACATGGAAATACTGATAAGAACTATCTGTGTGAGCTGCAATAATTAATTTTGGGCTCATCAGGAAGTGGCTATCACTATTCTTTCAGCAGTTGTGAGTGGTCCTGAGAGAACCCCACCAATGCTATGGCAGGGTATTGTAGAGGTTTCTGTCCAAACCATAACATATAGGGAGAGAACTGCTGTTTCCAAACTAACGTTACTAATTAGAAGGTACTTGTAAGAAACTAGACAAAAGGAAACTTCAAACCCAAATAAAAACGAAACAGGCCAGGAGTACTGGCACTTAAACCTTTTATTCAGCGTCTAATTCTCCAATGCTTACTCATAGTGAGCAGTGCTTAGTTACCCACACATGCTGGTAAATACTTGTTGAATAAATACTAACTGGAGATATCAGAAAGGGTTGCTACATTAAGTCTGCCTTTAATACTTTTTTCATTTAAAGCTTATTGACAAATCTGTTCGATGTTAGTTTTGAAATGCTCCATTATAACCTTAGGAACTTGCAGCAAACTCTTTGCACTAGAAAAATCCTCCCCGGTTCAGTGCATTTGCATATGCTAATCTCTGCCAAGTTCTCTCCAAAATGAAAGGCTTTAAATTGACATTAAAAAAAAAAAAAAAAAAAAAGGCAAACAAACCCAAAACCTCAAGTCAGATCTCTGTATATATCTCACAGTTTAGAACCGGGCAGTGGAGCTGCTAAATAGCCTGTATCCTGTTTCTCTTCAGTAGCAGCCCATTCATCTTCAGGTACAGAGCAGCCAGTTTACATGCTTCTGCCTCTTTTCTGCTTTACTTTTTCTACATAGTGTACGATGGCAAACCCATGTAAGCTAAATACGCACTTGAGCCAAGGAAACCTTACAGTTAGCAGACAATTTTCCTTTTGTCAGCCAGGAGAAAGTTCATTTTCACTGAAGATAAAGTGTTCTTATAGCCTATATATTTTATTTTTGGTGGTTCTTAAGGCAACATAGATTTGTACATTTCAAAAAAAAAAATGCTAATGAAACAAGGATAGTTTACATTTTTGAAAGGGTGAAAGGGAAGTGTACTGTAAGGGACTAGCTACATGGCCACAGGTGACTTAACTAGTAACTACTGCTCTGAAAATAATGTAAATACTTTTCCTTCAATAGCTCTCACTTTAATATGTCCATAACTGTACCCTTATATGGCAAGCCCAAAATGTTTTTTTTTTCTTTTAGTGCATTTCTATTTTGTAATACCACATATGCGTTATACTAATACACATATGCAGGTTTATATATAAATATATATATATTTAGACACACATACAAACACATATGAATTGTGTATGTAGACAAAATTGTGTGCATATACACATGTACACAAGCATATAAGTATAAATATACATATATATTGTAATAATATACACATTTGATTATTTATACATGTAACAGTAATCTAAACGTGTGCTTTTTCAGAACGGACATTGTTCCTTCTTCAGATCCGAGGACTGTTAATATTAAAACACTATGAAAGAGGAGGGTTTATAGGAGGGAGCATTTAGTGGAGCTGGGTGCAGTCATGCACATTTAGCTGCTTATCCAAACCGAATCCCAGCTCCGAGTGTTTTAGGCTTTGTGCGCCATCAGGAACGCAAAGCACCTATCTCACGAGGCAGGTGGAACTTCTTCAGAAGTGAGAACTTCTCTCTTCTCACAGAGCACAGCTGCTTCACAGGTCAAGGATACATTGCACTCTGTGGCAGTGGAAACCATGGATTGTTTTTCTTTCCACATCTGTAAAATCTGAAGTATTAATCCCATAAGATGGTCATCAGCCAGTACTGTGGCCTGTAGGTTCCCTTGCTGCATCAAAACATGTATTCCGTTGCAAAAGGCGCTCCTAACTCAGGGTCAGAACTGCAGCAGGCAGTGGAGTTAGGCCCAAATCAGCTGTAAACTCAAATGAACTAAAATCCTCTGTTTACTTCCCCTTAAAATTCTGGGCAATCCCAAATTAAGCAATGATGAGGTTAACTTTTTTATTTTAAATATTGGCAGTGTCAGAAGCAGTGGGAGCTGCACCTGCCCACCTACAGCGCATTTGAGGGGACTTCTCCCGCCAGGAGTAGCGTTGCCTTTGCCGCTGGGGTGCCAGAACCACTCAGCCCTGATTCATGGCTCCTTCTTCTGACCACTGGCAAGATGACGCTTATGCCATTAGAGTACAACATGTTTTAATTTATATGATGTAATTGCTTCTTAAATATATAGTTGTCGCAGTGCACTTTAGTACCACTTCAGAATTTATTACGTTAAGTGGAAAAGAGCAGCATTCCTCTCATGTGCCTGGTTATTAGCGGCAATTAGTGTTTTCCAAAGTCATCTGTGGCTCTGACGTTACTACTGCTGTGCTTATGACTACACTGAAGTCCTAAATCCTTTCACAGCTTTTAGTTTGTCCCTATTTCTAGTTACTTTACAACATGCCCTCTTTCAGCTTTTTTTTATATTCTTTCCACTCCAGCTTCTGGAATTTGTATAAAAGCCACTGAGGTTTTTTTTTCTTTTGAACTGAAGACACTGAGCTGGTGGAATTTCCTTTAACTGGAAGTACGTCTGGGTTTGTGGTTTTATTATTTGCACAGTTTTATATTGTCCTGTTTGTTTACTCCCAAGTACAGGGAACGCTCCATTAATCATGGGAAATGGGCATTCATTTCACCTCTTTAATTTACATTCAACTCTTTTTCTCACAGTTGAAAGGGACAAGGACTTCTCCCACCAGCGAAGGCACTACAAAGAATTTCGCTTTGACCTTACTCAAATCCCGCATGGAGAGGCAGTGACAGCAGCCGAATTCCGGATATACAAAGACCGAAGCAACAGCCGCTTTGAGAATGAAACAATTCAGATTAGTATATATCAGATCATCAAGGAGTACCCAAACAGGTACCCAGTTGGCATGAACGTATTACGTGTTGAATAATGTCTCCTGTTGCTATCTTACGTAGGGAGACAATAGCTGATCATACGCATACCCTCGGCAAGGCATCATTGCTATCACCGTGGCTTGTGCCCTATTAATTCCTAGGCAACGACAACAAATACTGAGCAAGGATAAAAGTTATCTTCAATGTAATTTATTCCAGGTTTACGGAGAGTTACACATCCAATCTCACCAAATAATCTGACCATGCACAGAGGGGGGCAGGGTTCTTGTTCTCAGTGAGCAAATGGTGGAGTCATGTGCACAGTCTAAGTGCCTGGATTTGGGAAATGCACCATGTGCTGACACTGAGGTACTACCAGCCAAGATTCATTTAGCTCCTTAAAGGCAGATAGATTGTTTAACCTTGTTTATGTTTGAAGGAGCATGGTTTTTTGCATTCTGCTGAAGGTAATTAAAAGATAAAGTCATGTACTGACTTTAAGATGACATATGCACACTTAACACATGCAGCTCACCATAACTGAAAATTAAAACCAATAGGACATTACACATGAGCAAACCTCTGAATCTGAGTTTGCAGAGCTCTGTGTGTGACATATTTCCAAGACTCTGCAAGACCTGAGGAAATGACCAGTTTCACCAGGCAAAGTAGCTAAATACCTGAAAATCCCTATTAAAAACTAGTAGCAATTCCAAAATGCTTCTGAAAAAAGCTACATACACCCAAAATTTGGGTTTTGAAATTAAATTAGTATATGTCTTTTCTCAGAAAAGTGGAAAAAAAAAGTTTTGTTTTGAGATAAATAAAAACTCTGCCTCATCTTGGAACAGATAAAATAGTTCTATCCTGGGCATGTTTAGCAAAAGCAAAGAAAATGGCAACCTAAACTTGCAGAGTACTCTGGAGGAAAAAAATGCCCCATCACCAGTTAGCTTGAAGGCTGGGCCAGAGTCAAACCTCTTTTCTGCTCACAAGAAAGCTTGAGCTTGTACCTTCCAGGAGAGAGCTCTGAACATCAAGTTATACATTTTTTATGGCTATAAACAGGGAGTCATTTTATATCAATGGAGCAGAACCAACAGGAGGGAAAGCACTCATCCTTCTAGAGTATCTTCTGCTTTCTTAGTAAATTTGGGCAGGAACAAAACAGTGAGGGTTTTTTTTTCTTTTACGTCTGTCTTCAGCTTGCAGAAATTCTTTTGACATAGGTTCTAAAAGAAACTTCTTGGAGGAAGGAATGACATGGGAATGAATAAAACATATCTTTTAAAAAAGCATGGGTCAAGGCTAGGGTGATGAAAGCTCTTCACCTGCAAACTCAACAGATTTTTTTTAAGAACTAATGGGAAAAGTTAGTTTTTCTAATCCATTTGATGTTTTCTTTTTTGGGTTTTGGGTTTTTTAAAATGTTTTCCAAGTAAGTGATTTCTATTCTATTTTAGAGAAAGCAAAACTGCTTACTAATCTGAAGCAAGATCACACTTTAATATTATCTGACTTGTTAAAATGACAACTGTCTCTGTGAAACCATTAAAGAATGCTCTTGATTTCTTTCAACACATAAACATAAATTTATAAACGTTTTATATTGCCATTTATAAACATAAAAGCCACATGTCCTCTAATGGAAGCATGGTGCTGGAAAGGGGGACATACAACAATATACCACCCATTTGATTTCACCAGTATAACTACAGAAACTTCAGATGTAGACTAAGTGTTTCCCTCCTATTGTTGATTTTGGCAGTCTCTACTCATATATGGAGTATATAGAGACAAATGCCTCAGTGGGACAGGATAGGAGAAGACCACAAGACCTCCACTGTTCAAATTAGAAACAAGGAACTTTTCCCACCTGCTTCTTGATACCTCCAGACATAAGAGCTCCCAAGAATAATTTGTCTAGTGTTTTTTGCAATAAAGACACAGCTTTTGCTTTGGGGCCCAGACTTCATTAGTGTTATTCTTGCCTTTGTCACCTCAGGTTTGTCCTCCATATGTACATGAGATTTTAGGTGCAAAATTTTCAGAAGCTGCAACTGCAGAATATGAGGGTGAGAGAACTGTGAGGGTGGTGAGACACTGCAACAGGTTGCCCAGAGAAGTTGTGGGTGCCCCATCCCTGGAAGCGTTCAAGGCCAGGTTGGATGAGGCTTTGAGCAACCTGGTCTAGTGGAAGGTGTCCCTGTCCATGACAGGGGGGTTGGAACTTGATGGTCTTTAAGGTCCCTTCCAACACAAACCTTTCTATGATTGCATGATTCTATAAGGTCCCACGCTCCTTACTAGTGCCATACCACAGCAAAACTGCTGGGTTTGACCCTGCTCCTCCACCCTTCTTTGCTCTGAACAGGAAACGTGGGTGTCTGACAGGGCTCTGCAATCCCAAACGCAGCCCTGCCATGCTTTCAGGCATGGAGTGGTCAGGCTTTAGAATTTCTGAGTTGCAGATTAAGGATTATGTTGTAGTCCTGGACACTTTTTGTCTCTGTGGCAGCATGGCCACTGAAGTGTGTGTGTATTGAATTTGCTCAGTTTGCTGAAATGACAGTCTTTGGGATTGCAGTTTTCTATTTGTTCTAAGTAAGCGTGCAAGGCTCAGCCCATGGCAAGGCAAACTTTCCTACATAGCCCTGCCAATGTACTCCTACCCAGATCTTTTCTCATGACAAAAATAATATACTCCAACAGGCCAAATCCTTGTTCATGATCTGGTGGCAGCTAGCCACTAATTTAACTAAACCCCAAGGATTCTTCCCGCATTAGGGAATCCTCAAGTGGCATTAAGATACTAAAACAGCTTTCTGGAATGAGGCGAGAGGTGAAGCAGCATTATGGGGATGGCCTATTACATAGTAATAGTGATTTGATCTGGTTGAAAACTCTGCTGGGTTTCAAGGAACATATAGATGGTTTATTCCACCTTTACTTCCTTAAGTGACCCAGGAGATCTGGAGCTTCTTAGACATTCTGCCCACAGCCTTTTTGCTGAAATTCTTGACTGTGGTAGCATTTCTGCTGTAGACAACTGGTCGTTTGGGACCAGACTGAGATCACTAAACTTAAACAGCCTCCATAAAGGTAAAGCCAATCAGCTGTATTCTGCCTGAATGTGTTCACTGTTGCATTTCAGGCTATTTACGACATAATGCTGTACTTTTTTATTATGTGTTGTGGGCTATTTTTTAAATAGAAATATTTTTTAAAATTAGAGCCAATATTTGCAGCTGTTTTTCATTTGAAGTGTGGTCATTTTTTTCTTTTTGCAGAATAAAAGGGAATTTTAAAATTAAAAATGTCACAAAATGTGATGAGAAGTTTGAGTGAATGACAGCAGCTAATGGGGGAATCCTGATCCCACAACTCTCACTGCCTTCTCAGGGGCCAGGTTTTCACCTTATGTTTGTATCAATTGTGAAAAAGGTTGGGTTTTTTCCTGACAAATACTTTGAATTTCTGTAGTAAAGCTGTTATGTGGGCTAAATTATTGTCATTAGTCTGGAGACATTTTCTCTATTCTACTATATGTTCTTGAGAATCAGTTCTAGTTTTCTTTAGGTACCCACAACTAATTTTTGGTTCATTTGCTGAGTTAATGGGTAAGAACAATCTGCCTCTTTGAGTCCATTACCTTAGCCAGATCATTACGCTTGTAGGAAGGCAGACAAGAAGATTGACATATCAATGCCAAAGACACTTTGGTGTGAGTTTCTGCTGCAGTACAAAATAATAAAGTCACATTGAGGACAGGTCACAGGGGAAATTTGTCCTTTATAAGGATTTCTGGACTGTACTGTTAGTAGTGCCCTATTCTGTTTTGGCATATGAGACCTTGCACATCCTGACTTTTGAGAACATTTCATATCAGTCCCAGCAAAGTTTGGAGCTGAAAGAATCTATATGGGAAAACAATTATGTGTTCTAGGAGGAGACAAGATGAATGTGAAATTATAGCACTGTGAGATCATAATATGTTATATTCCAAACAATTTTACAGTTTTCTATTAAATATAGTGTATGATATAAGAAATATTTATTTAAAAAATCTTAAAAACTGTCACATTCAGAATTAAACTTTTCAGTTTTAAAATTCTGATAAAACTGCTTATTAGAGAAAAAAAAATGGCATTCAAGTCTCCAGAGAGCACTATTTATGAGCTTGTGGTACGTTGTTAATTTGTTCAGTGCTAGCATAGCAGGTCAGGCTCTTTTGAATTGTAAGACTGTTTTCATGTTAGGTCCGGAGGGAGAGTGTATGTTTTCTCCTTGTGAGGTCATTAGCACAGTTCTACTAGAATGGAAGTGATAAGAGCCCAGCAAAAGATTATCCTTTAACAGAAGAAAAAAAGGTTACTTGAAAGAAAGCCCTTTCAATTTCCTTTTCTTTTTTTAAAAAAAACCCCAAACCGCTTTATCATTTCTGAGCTCTTTAACCTGATTCTGCAGATATTTCTCGCATGTAACTAAACATATGCTTGTCATAGCTCATTTGGTCTTATTTTCCTGAGTGTTGAACAACCACAATTTCAAGAGCTATACAAGACATTTTTCAGTATCAGACCTTCTAGGTGCATTTACAGTGCTTAGTCTAGATAAGATAGCAACTTCCTACAATGTTGTTACGTTAAAGCAACATAAGGATACAGTGACAGGAGCATTGTAACTTTAAATCCACTTTTTATACACAAAGCCTATTATTTCTATCTGTTTTACCTCTTTAAGCATATGTTCACGCTGTCTGTAAGGTAACTATGATTCTAAGGACTGTGTAAGCCAAGTCTGTCTTTAGTTGAGTTGGACAGTCAAAATTTAGAATAAAATATTTTTTCTTGTATATTATTGTTTTGATTACTATTTATGGCAGAAAAGAAATATGTTTCCATAACTATAGATTTAGGTTTAAAAGGCTAAATGGTGAAAACAGTTTTTAATAATGTGTGTTGCTTTGTAGAAGCATGTAAAACAAAACTGATGAGAGTTAAATATATTGGGTTTAGTGTGGTCATTGTAGTAAATTATTTGTAATACAGATGTGGTTCTGGAACCAATTGTGTCAGGAGATATGTGAAAACAGAACAAATAAACGATCCATGCTAAGCATTTAGTAACACAATTATACTAACTCCCCTGAGCAGCCCTTTTGAATTACTGGAAGATTTCATGGGAACAAATTTGAGAATATACCAGAGAACTGAGGGTTAAAATGTAATAATTACATTATTGAAAAGATATATAATTTCTACTTTGATATAGAGACTTATTTTCTAAACATCTGTACTAATATGAAACCGTCTGAACTGTCATCTATTCATGTTTTGTCATATGATATAGCCGCTGTCATATGTTATTAATAACAGATTTCTTTAGCAAAACTATGCCTTCGAATTTTAGTTGAAATTGTAACGTGATTTTGACTTTTTTTGTCTTTTACACTGAACGGTTTATAAAAGGTAATCTTCCTGAGACATTCTAGTGCTGAAAGATGAATCCTTTATACACAGCCTCAATTATATATTTTGCATATTTATATCAGGAAGCTGGATTTTTCAGATTTTCCAGACCTGTAGTTTTCACATGCTGAGACTCATTTCAGAAAGGCCTCTCAGGGGAAATACCTGTATTATATGTAACAATTACATGTTAGCTACAGCACATGCTGTACTGTGTTGTGATGAGGATATGTCAAAGGATTATTCGTTTGGACTCCAGGAAGTTACTGTACAAAAGAAAATAAAGAAAATAAAAAAAAAAAAAAAAAAAAAAGAAATTTGAATGCCTTAACTCTCTATTTTCTTTAACTTAGGGATGCAGACTTGTTCCTGTTAGACACAAGAAAGGCTCAAGCTTCTGATGTGGGCTGGTTTGTGTTTGACATTACTGTGACCAGCAATCACTGGGTGATTAACCCACAGAACAATCTGGGCCTGCAACTCTGCGCTGAAACCGGGGACGGTAAGATCATAACTGTAGATCATGACTCCATATATGCTCTTGTCATGTCTTGCTAGGAATCTTTTCTGGCTGGGTGTTTTTTAACTTGACTGGGTGACAATTCACTGAGAGTTTATAAGCAAAGAACATGAGCCTTATCCTGCGGTAGATATAGTCTGCAAGCTTTCTATTATTCTTAATTCTGTACAATATGGCAATTATAAAGCTATACTGAACCAAGTTAAATTAAATGAAGTTTTGGATAAAAGCTCCTACATAGAAAATGACGTTCCATTTTAATGTTCTTCCACTGATGATTGCATTCAGGAAACTCAAGCAGATTTGTGGAATTTTTGTTTTAGAAAGTTTCTAAATATCTTTCTGGGCTGAAGCACAGAGAAAGGTATAAAAAAACCTTGGGACATTTCAGAGGGGACCTCATAGCTGCTGGTACTGATGTTGGAGAAAGGTAAACAATAGGGTAATGTGGGAATTGGTTTTCTATCATTTTAAAAAGAATTAATTTCAAAACATTTTTATCTTGAAACGGGTTAAAAATTTGAAATCTTGAAAAATTTTATTAGCTGAAAATTAGAAAGAACACTATCAAAATTGAAGTCAGAGCTGTGGGGGTTTTCAGTACAAATTTACTAGGCTACAAATTTACTAGGCTTCATTATTCACAGTTATGCTCTTCATTAAAAAGTGAAAATGCATTTCAATGCAAAATAATATTAGAAGAAATGATCTTTACTTAAACTTCTTTAGAAACTAATAAAAAGAGACTTATATACTGTTTTTTCTGTGATGGTTCACTTAATCCATACTACTTTACAAGCAGACTTTCAGATTTAGCTCTTTCTTGTCAAAAAGCTTTTTATGGCAGAGGTCAAGGGACCTATGATGCCAGTTAATCTAAACCTTAGCTGACATAATGTTAATGAGTAGCAGAAGAAACCCTGGTGTAAGGATTAATATTTTTTTCTTCTTTCTTTGTTCTGGCTACATTTTCTCATTGTTTTTGATCTGAATTCTCCCTCAGGCTCAGCTGGGCTGTGAACAAAGCCTCTCATACTTTTTCAGCAAGTGCTCCGGCTGCTGGCAGTTATGCAAAAACTGTCCTCCTTTAGGCATGATGCTTAAAAAGGGTGTTGGCAGGCTTGAACCAGAGCAGAGGATCATTTCACCTAATGTTGCCTATATGGTCAGACTACAGTCAGTGGAAAAGGGAGGCAGCAATGCACAGTAGACCATGTTGCTGTTGCGTTCAGCCATCCTTCAAAAGCACCACACCTGAGCCCGCACTGTACAGGGAGTGGCTCTGTTAGGCAGCCTGTTTTTGTGATGCCATTTTTAAGCCCTTAAAATTCTGGAGAGGTGACACCTCCGTCAGGCATCCAAATTAGGTGGACTGGCTTCTGGCCAGCTTTCCTGCTCCAGAATAAACTCCATCCTTGACTTTTTTTCCAAGAGATTCAAATACAGAAACTCTTGAAAATTAAATATCCATGAAAGACATTCATTAAGAAACCCTGGAATCAGCAATTTGTTGGTTCTAGCCTAAAAATTATATCCGTTCAGTAAACAGCAGGAAAGTTTGTATGGGTAAAAGCAAACCTTTAGATACACTGAAGGAATTGTAAAAGAACAGTTTATGTAAATATTTCCCCTGTCCTACTCCCAAGATCAGAAAGGTGATAGATAAATTTTCTATTTTTAATTCCAAACCCACTGGCAGCTTTACCTTCTGCACCTCACTTATTTGAATTTCTTAACACAGCTGTTTGAATGAGGAGGGAATTCCCTTCTTCCCTCACTTTCTGTTCCCCTTTCAGTTTATTCATGCAAGAAGAGCGCTCTTCCACGGACTAAAGTTTTCAAAACTATAGGGAAGACCTGTGCTACACCACTTCAGCTTAGCACAGTGAAAATCATCCTTTCATGCTCTTACAATTTTGCTCTTAAGGCTTTGATTATTTTTATTGGGTTGCTGTTACTTCTGGAAGCTATTAGAAACACCAGCAGTTGAATGACATGTTTGTGTAGAGACGGGACACGAATTTTTGTACACGACTCAGTATGTAGTGGACTCTGTAACCCAGAGAACCGCACCCACCTTCCCTCCGACCAGTTTTCTATGAAAGCTCAGAGACTGGTTCATATCAACCAAAAAACCTTCCCTTGGCTCAAGTGGACTTTAGGCTGTGCAGGTCTGAAGCACGTTTCTTCATGCCTCCAGCTGTCCATTGAGTTTATGGGAGGTAGAGGAGTTCTGCCCCCACAACTGGAAAGACATTTATGATAAGACCTGATCCATTAACCTTTCTATTTGAACAGACTATTAAACTAAATGGGATTCTGTTAAGTCAGAGGATCCCTGTTTGAGGTATTCAGGTGCTGCACTGGGGCCCTGGATAATGAAATCTGTAAATGCGTACTAATTTTTAGATTTATTCATTCAGCACCTTTAAAATGGGGTGCCAATAATTACTGAGACTCTGGGGTGCTACTATATTGTTATCATTACCATTAACAGCAATCTTTCTTACAGTTATCTTTCAGTGACTTTTTAGGCAATTACTTGTGTAGATATATTTCTTCGGTGATCCCTGAAGATGGTGCATAAATAATAATAATGTCTACATGAGGAATAAAAAAATTTGTAACTGTTTAATAGAGCAGTGTGATAAAAACAACTTTGGAAGAATGTCTGGTTGTTGTAATTCATATTTTTCCCCCTTTGAAAATGCTGAAAAAGTACAAAAAGCCACATGACATTGGAATGTGTTTTCTTTTTTCTTTAAGACAGTATTTGGTATCATACGTCTCATTTTAGCATGAAATGTAGACTTTTTCTCTTAATGGGACGTTTTATTTTGAACAGTAAGAATAAAGGTTTGCATGACACATATGGAAGCTGTCAACATATAATGCACTGTTTCCCTGGGGCTGTGGTAAATTAAGGATCAGGTTTTTTTGATTCTCTTTTTTAATGTCTCCTCAACATTCTGCAGCATCCCCTTTTGGCCGATTCCCTCCTTTTGACACCAAAACTCTCCGTGGTGTTTAAAATGAGAGGTGATCATTTTCACACTGGAAGTGCGGGTGTTAGATAAATTGCAGCATAAAATCAATGCAGATGCAGAAACAATTCGAAAAGCTCCATGTGACACTTTTCATGTATATACACCATATGTCTCTTATGACTTAAAACATGTTCCAGTGAATCAGCACCTTTGTATTAACATTTAACATTTTTATAATTGGGAGTTAGCAACAGTTTGAACATCGCTTTTACTGGAGGAGTATAAATAGCTGTAAGAGTATTGCTTTTGCTGTTTATATCATCACTGAAGAGAACCTAGTGTTGTCTACAGAAAATGGGAGAGGGAGATAACATGTGACGATGACTATTGATGATCCACAGGACAAAACAGGTTCCAAACACACAGCTCTCAATACAACATCCTGGGTAGCCCCCACAGCCATGTGGTTCTGTGCCTTTCCTTAGATTACTGCATCTCTCAGTTATTTTCCATCCACCTGCACATCAGAGGGGAAGAAACTGGTGGTAACTTTGAAAAGCCCACGCTGATTAAGGTGACTTCTGTTACCACATAGTCCTATGGAAGGTTTCCTTGGGCTTTCTTGCTGTCTGAGGTGGGCAG